TAATGGAGATATAAGCTATCTTAGTAAAGACTTTGGGAAGACTTTAGCCTGGGCTACTCTGGAAAGCTTTGGAGCATATATAGATAAAATGTGAAAAAAAACCAACTAACCAAAACAAATCAAAGAAATATATCCAGCTTTTGCTTTGCTGGCAAAACCAAATGCAATTGTTCTGGCCAAAAAATATTACAGCAAGTGTTGCTAATTTTTCTCAAAAATCTAACACTAGCTTTTCTTTTTCTTTTTTTCATTTATTTTGTTTTGTTTTGTATTTTTCCTTTAATTCCACATTTTGATAGAAAGCATTCATCGACTCATTATGGTAGTTATATATTTAATGACACAAGAGGATAAAGGTATTCATATGGATATGATCTATATGTAAGCTTTTTGCAGAGTATATTAGTATTTGATATTGGCAAAGTTAAATTTTATAGACAGAAAGAATTTATCCATTATATGAGCAATAATTTTTATGTATGGTATGTTTTTTTAATTCAATTTTGTTTTTCTTACAGCTCAACTGTAAATAGGTAGCTAACCACAATAAGTAAACCTACTTTAGGATTAAATTGCTATTTCAGTTTGCATTCAAATCTTGATTTATACTAAGAAGATTTTGCAGTACAGCCAAAAGCTTTTTTGGTGCAGGACTGAATCCAGCTAATGCTTTCCGAAACTGAAGTCAAGACAAAGAAAGTAATTTTTTGTTACATAGTATAATGATCATGTGTTCTAGTATAAATTCAACTCACTTTCTATACAACTAGCTTCCTCTTGACTGGAATTACAATTTTCATCCTTTTTTTCACTTGTTTCTACATTGAGTCTTGCAACCAACCTTGAATTAACACATGAACATCTCCCAGACAATAATATTAATTCTAAAATGATGACCATTAATGTCACCTAACTCATCTGTTAAGTCCTTCTTTCAATAATAAAGTCATGAAGTCATAAAAAATTTTGCCTAATTGGTGACTACAGTTATGGTCCATTTTCAGCTCATTGGTAAACTGTACCCCAAAAAAACCCCCAAGTATTTACCTAATTAATAATTATGGGAATATACTACCTATTTCTGTTTCAAAATAGTTAACATTATATCTTAAAACAACTGTTTTAAAAGAAAAAAATATAATTGAGGCTAAATACGGCACTGAGTTTAAAAATAAAGAGTTTGGGAGTTCCTGTAACTAAAGAGGAAATAAGGGTTTATCACACTGCTCTTTGTTAAAAAAGAAATATGAAGTACAAGGAATAAATTTAGAAGAAAGAGAAAATATGCAAGCTCACTAACATACTATATCCCCAAGGAGGATAATGAATATGAGGCCACTTGGACTTACTGCTGATGTTCATGTGAACAAATCTTTATTATAAGGGAAACTGACTCAGCAAAGCAGATAGCTACAGCAAACGTCAGTGAGACGATTTTCTACGAACCAGCAAGGCATCAGAAAGAGTTTGTGCGTGTAGATGCAGTTCAAGAAGCCAGCAGTCTGCCCCCACAGGGGCTCTTTCCGTGGCTGTGATCAGCAGCATCACTTGGGGCAGGGTGAGGCTGGGGCCAGTCGCAGGGTAGCCCTGGCTGACCTGAGAACTCGTCATAGCACAGTCAAACGCGTGGAAGTGTTGATTTGCCAGCACCACTGTGACATTTGAAAAGTTTGGCTCTGGTTTTGGAATTAACTTAAAGGAATATAATTATCTGTGATATTTATGTGCCCCCAGTTACTGTGCTATTTTGGTGCCAGCTGTAGAGCTGGGATAATGGCAGTGGCCCAAGGAGATACTTCTCTTGCCATGGGTCTTCTGAGTACAGGAGACATTTTACATTTATTTGTCTTCCTGAATTTTTGCTATTTACAGGATACCTGGGGATACCACACTGTGTCCCTAAGATTCACAATTAACATGAAAAAAGACAGAAAATAAATAAGAATGATGGAATTTATTTCATACATCCATTGGAGATATAGATATAGACCCTGGTATATATTAACATAGGAGCTCAGGAAGTAGATTCAGGCTATGAACTTTTGTAAGATGAAACCCTAAGAATATTTTGTAAAGAATTCATTACCTAGTTTTAGTAATTTTTATTTTTCTTTCTTCTGCTCCATTTAATCAATTTTCTAGGGAAGTTTTGACTAAAATTCTATCTGAATTGTGGGGTGAGGTTTTCATTCATTCCATTTGACAGACTTTGACTAGTTAAATAGAAGAATTCACCAAACAAAATTAAAAGCTATTTGAACACCTTCATCTCCCCACAGTTTTAGCAATCATCTTCAACAGTTTTTCACTAAATTCATGTGCACTGGTATCAGGCATGGGAAGAATTATAAACCTGAATAACTGCCTTTAAGCTGTTAGCAATGCTATGTTATTTAAGAATAACAAGGTTTTGAGTGCATTAACTAATTTTCTGCATTGTAGAAGCCTTAATAGCTCTTGTATGGGTAAATTAGGCATTTTCTTCAAACACTACCTTTATAATTAAGAAGTTCCTAGATATGCAAAAACATGCAACATTAGCCAAATGCATCTACTTGTTTCAGCTAAGATTCTTTTTTATAAAGAGAGTACATAGCTATTTGTAGATGGTTAGCACATAGTTGCTTATTGACTGTGATTCTGAATTACTTGAGAACTGTTTTTAAGGAGCAGATTAATTGCTACAGTATTTCCAAAGGTATCTCATCTTTCTAAGGTAGTTCTTCACTTTTAGGATTTGAATTATTTTATTAAGTCTGATGCCTGAGGTTTATACATTGACATAATCTCAACCTTTTGTTCTTGTTCTTGGGTTTTAAAAGGCATACTGGTGTATAAAGTTTTTGTTCAGGGGATGCATATTTTTAGGGTGAAGAAAAATACACCTTCAAAGGTACAAAGCTATACTGAAATCTAGGACCTACATTCTCTTATGACTAAACTACTGTATCTTCACTGAAGTAAAAAGGGGTGCTCCAGATTGTCATAAGTGTGAAATGAGAACAGGATCCTTCCCTAACATGCATCACTGTGAATTTTAGCACCACACATATGTCTAAAATCCATAGAAATTCGTATCTTTATTTGGCTTTGGAAGCACATGAAATTTGAGTGAGCAGTTTTCTCAACCAAGAATTAAAAATAGCAGATAGCAGTAGCTATCTAAAGCAGAGCAAAATCAAAAAAGGCATATGAATCAGTGAACAATTCACACTACAACCTTGTTGATTGGTTCATGAATAGTTTATGTTCTCTCAATCTTTATATTAAGCAGAGTTATTCCTAATTTTATGGCGTTACCTGTATTGAAAACATCATATTCCCTGATCATTGACAAGTCTCCTTTGAGTCAAGTTTTTGCTATTTTGTTCATCAAATAAATTCATATTTGATACTATAGAATGAGATAGGGTAATCCACTATAGCAGTATTAATGTTATACCTCACCACCTGTTTTTGGCTTCATCTCTAAAGGTCATTATTGGTGCTATTAGAATAGAAGTGTATTTAAACGTATTTACTTAGGAAATGCCTAGACCATAGACACAGCAAGCCAGGAAGAGAGGAGTTTTTCTAAGGTCTAGTCTAATAGATTGAAAGTTATCAATTGTCCCATGCAAAGGGAGGGTTCATGGACATTGCTCAGAGTAGAAATACTCATTGAGATCTTTAATGAAAAACAGAAAAAGTCTGTGTTTCAAAGGAAATTAAATAGTCCATTTGTCGGTCATATTCTGAGTTTCTTACTCCATCTTTTTCTGTGCCTAAGACAGTGATGGCTGTGTTTTGGGTTTGGGCCCATTCCACTTATGATCTTGCTGAACTTTTCTTCTTTTATCTGATATCTCAAGCAACAAAGGAAATCATACACTACTAAGAAGAACATTATTTTCTCCAGCTCCCTTTTCCTTGTGCCTGTAATATGTGCTTAAAAGATATTATATGGTTCTCAGGAAAGATCGATTTGCTACATGCATTAGCTAATCCCATTAAAAACTCCATGGAGTATTTTTCACTTAGGCACAGAGAAGAACAATTTTTCATTGTAGAGCTCCATCTCTTTTGTTTTACTAAACAAAATGAAGAGGAACAATCAAGTTCGATCAAAGCACTTTCAACAAAAGATCTCACATGTATAGAACTACAGAGAAATCCCCCCTTATGTCAGTAACTGACTTCCTACAGGAACACTGATTTCACAGCAAGACTAGACTGGTGGACTCTGGATGTTCTTTCTATCTCAAATTGTGGCATGATTCTAATACCATACGTTGGTTTTATTTGATCCAGGTTATGGTGCTTAAGACTGAAGTTTAGACCTCTCTGTTACCACAGGAAAAAAAATATAGCCTTAAGAATAATTTCCTCAAATGAATCCAGTAACTTGCATGCTTAAGAACCAGTGCATTAGTAAATGAAAAGAGTATGTGACACCAAAACATAAAATAAAATGCATTATATTTCACCATTAAAACTCACATTCTAATCCTCAGAATTCCACGTAAAGACAGTTGGTGGGCTAGTCAGGTAAATCAGATCTCCAGCTGTGGTTGAGAACCTCGGAAACCACAGAGTACAGCCTGGCTGTTGTGTAGCCTGGTATCCCACCCTGACAGCACTCGTGGAAGCCATGCACTCGGTATTCTGTCACTGTGTTCAGGGTGTGCTCTGGTCAGCCAGATTAAGGAGAGGAAAGAATAGAATATAAGGAGGTCCTTATCCACTTTGGATAATCATTAGTTCAGAATTTGGCTTGACTTGGATTTGAACTCTGATTTTTGCCTCTTGGTATGTTTTCAGCTGCCACAGAAAGATGACAGGATAAGTGTAAAATTCTCTTACCAAGGACACAAGCAGACTACAGCTAGCACAAGGCATATACTGTGACAGGAACAGCCACAGCAGTTTCAGGAGCACTGAAACTCTCTCTCTTTGGGGTGAAGTTAATGAGAATTAACTTGGAGAAGGAGGAAAGAAAGATTAAGGAGTTGCAGCAATGATTTTTCCAGTTGTGTTTTATAGACCAAGCTACATTAGCCGTTTCACCAGTGTTTGCATCTGTGAAAAATGGAGAAATAATTCATGAGTTCCAGGAAGAAATTAGAAATACATTTATAAATTTGTTCATTAGAATTTTTCCAGAGAGAACTTGTAACTCCATTTTGAAGACCTGACACATTTATAAAACTCCTGAAAGGTCCACAATCACTGTGCCCAGTGTATTTCTCATATTTTTATTTATGTCTTCTTAGTATCTTTGTATTCTTCCTAAACAAACTGTGCATATGAATGTTTTATTTTGCTGTTGTGTCTTTGAGCAATGCTTAGCATTTCTACACATGTTAATATGGGCACAGCAGCATCAGTTTCTGGGTCTAGGGATAATTTAAAAGGGTGTCAGTTGTAAGGGACACCATAGATAGATGGAAATAGGGATTCTAGTCACTATTCCGTACAATGGCTTTGCTCTCATGTCACGTTCTTGTGACAGTGAGTAAGTACTGAAAGAATGAAATAAGCTCCAAATTTTTGTCCAGCAAAAACTATCTCTTGAACTTTGCTCTGAACTTCTGATCCCATAGAGATAATGTTCTTCCTAGCACTGCTGAACTCCTAAGCTATAAGTAATATCCAAAGAACCATTTTTGCACTATCTTTTCTCAAGAGAAAATTTTCTATTTTGTGCCCATGAGTAAAAAATTAGGATCTGAATACTACTTTTAAACAAAGCTTAGGAATCAGCCACTCTGCCTCTCTACATATCTCTGACTATATTCTGAAGTACAAAAGAGAAGAAAATTGCCTTAGTACCTTTGAGGATATAACTATTAGACACTAATGTTGCTGCTTTTGGCACAGTGGCATAGATAAAGAGAGACAGGCAGAAAATATCAACTTATCAAGCACCTCAGCAGACTGAGACAATTATATAAAACATATTTATATAAATGATTTCACCTGCTTGATTCATTTACCTATTAAATAGCTCTGGTTACTCTTATCTCCCAGAGAGGGTCTTCTAGGAATCACCCTCATAAACTGTGATAGCATGCATTCAACATTAACTCAACATTTAGTAACTAATAACACTATAATTTTGTAACTGGGATTGAAAAAAAGTGGTGAGTTATGGCTCACAAAAAGTACAGTAAAGATTTTATAGTTATTAAAAGATATGTTTTCTGAAAGTTACCTGCTTTTTCTCTGCTGTTCTATCTTTGCATAGTCAGATTTCCTAGGAAGATACCTGTTGTTCAGAGAGAGGGTTGTGTGATCTCATACTGCAAATATCCTTACTCCTCTAAGCCAAGAAGTTTTAACCAATTTATACCTCAGGGCTTTTGCTTCACTGGACAGCTGGTTGTATGTAGTTATCTCAAATCCGTGTTCTCTTTAATTTCCCTTCAATTTCTCTCCCTTGGAATATCTCATTAGTGAAATTCTGGACAAAAGCTGTTAGGTTTTACCACCTCAATATGGTCAGAAACAAGGACTGACTTGCCTGAAATCAACTGCAGCACAAAACCAGGTGTACAGAACGATAAGGTTACAGGCACTTTATGATATATTTTTAGTCCAGTGGACCATGGACTTTAACAGCAGCAAGGTCAAGATCATGCTTTCGTATCTTCTGAAGGAAAATTATCTTACTGTAAATAATCTTTAAATAATTTTAGAAAATCTAGGTTTGCATATCTAATTTATTTTTAATTTGCTATTTTTTCCTTGATTTCTCTTGCAAGGCTTGAGTAAAATATGCATCAGGATCTTTTAAATGAAGACTAGGGGAGCAGAATTCCTGCAGAGTGTTAAATAGGTGTGCCACTGGTAGGGAACACTCAATGCTTTGGTACTTTGGGCCCATGAAACAACAAGAAGTTCCAGTGGTAATGACTGAGAATTCATTACTGATTTTTAGCTTGAATATTGTGGCTGTAAGTAGAGTCTTAGTACCTTAGTGACTTGGTAAATTAAGAGACTTCAGCTTCCTCTTTATAGGTTTCTTGTGTAGCCTTTCTAACAATTTGTGGACATATAATCTTCTGGATGCTACATATCCTTGTTTAAGAAACTTAAAATAGGTTTGGTTAAACATGAAGTGTGAACCACCGTACTGTGGTGTTTCAGCCACCCTTGCTTCCTATTTCCAACATCTAGATCTACAGCCCTCCTTGACAGAGTTATCAAGGTTCTTTTCTCTTAAGAAAGTTAATTTATACATATCAGATTTCCTCTAAGGGTGAAGCATCTAAATAGCACCCTGCTTTTTACATAACTAGGACTCTGGGAGTGGCTTTCTTCTGTACTCTTTGATACTGCTGTACTGGCTTCCCTGAGCTGCCCTCTAATTTGTAGTGATTCTGGTGAGAAGAGATTAAGGTCTGTCATGCCAGAGATTTGCATGAGCACTTCTTCATTCCATATGCAGCACTTCGGTTTAACTTTTGATGGGAAAGTAGAGCTCAGAGTGTCTGACCTATTTATCCCTTTTCTGTTCCTTTTTTTGAGATAAAATTGTCATATAGATGAATTGCACACAACAGAGCATGTGTGTTTGGTTTCTGTGTCACTTTAAGTAAATCAAAGAGAAAAATCTTTTGTAATCAGCTAGCCTTTAATTTAATAACACTTTTGATAAATTGCTGGTATACAATAGGTTATCAAACCCAAACATTAAAGATTTCAGTTTGACATGGCTGGAATGAATCATACAGACACAAAAGGCCAAATTTACAATTCTTTATCTGGAGTAAAGAAAAAAAAATCATTTCAGTTTCAAGACCTGCACTAATGACTGAATAAAGAATTTAAAATCTGGCCTAAGGAAGTTAAAGATATGCTTGAAGCATAAGTGTTCATTACAGCAGCATTTGCAATTCCTTTACCAGAGAGTTTTAGCACACTGTGGATCATTATTTATAGTTTATTGTATACTACCATTAAGAAATACCTCCTTATATTCTTTTTTCCTCTTTCTTTTCCTAATTTATGCCCTTTTCTTGTAACTTTTCAGCTTCCCACATACACAACCCCCATGCTGGATCTGCTACACTCCAAAACATGTGAGTGACAACAGGCTTGACAGCCCTTGGGGTGGTGAAAGATCTGGCGAGAGCAAGCCTCCCCAGCATGCTCATCAGGTTAGTAAGGATACTGTCATGGATGGCAGTGCCATATATTCTTTTCAGCCATAAGTGTAAAGTGATTGCAGCCAAACCTTTCCTCACAACAAAAGGAGAAAAGGCTGAAATAAACCTTCTTGAGACAGTGAGTTGAAAGATTATGATGCTTTCCAGTTTATAAAAGAAGGCTCCCTTCAAAGTACTTTGCAGGCATACCTGCTTCTTGTTTCTATCACTTGCACACTGTAAAGAGGCCTTACAGTGGCTGTAAATATAACCTATTTGAATTTCATAGTCTTTTATGCTGCTGCAACAGCATGCTAGGGCTTTAGGATAAATACAAACTAAAGCCAGCTCGTTCCATTAAGACCTTGATTCACTGATTTTAGAGATTTCCCTCTCAGAAAGATCATGGAGGTAAAACATTTTTTACCTTTACTGGGTAACCCTGACAGCACAAGGGAAATATCTATTTCAGTCTCCCCAGAAATCTAACACACCCTGTCTTCAGCAGCTCTGTGTGTGTGTGTGTGTGTGTGTGTGTGGACAGCTCTGTCCTTCCTTTAGGTGGCCAGCAGGAGCAGAGACCCTCTCCAAGGGGATGAGAGCAAAGCAGCTGTATCTGGCCCGTTTCCTGGAAAAGGGTCTGTGCATGCTGGCTGTGATACAGTGGAAGGAGCAGCGAAACAGCTGTCAAGCCCAAAGTCAGTACCTCTACCACCAGCAATCTCAGTTTGTGCTACTGGGTTAAAACAAAAATGCAGCCAGTCCCATTTCAGTTTGCATTAAAATGTGCTCTTTACTTGCTGCAGAGATAACAATCATAATAACTATTGCAGATGCACATTTACCATATGTGTTCTCCCTGTCATATCACCATAGATGAGTAAACATCCTGAGGCTGGGGAAAAACAATAGTACAAATCCATGTCCTTTGCACACCCTCATATTAGCCAGGTAAAACATGATTTCCACAAGCTCCTTTTGATAGAGGCAACAGTAATTGCTGTCTATTTAAATCTGGTAGGTGAAGGACTTAAAGTGACATTTTCTAGGCCAGAAAGAGATTCAGCACCTGTATTTTTCAATGGCATGCCAGAGCCCTGACTTCTGCCTTGTGCTCCCACAGCTAAATTTTATCTCATAGAGCTGAACACTGATGATGAATGTGCTGTGGAATTTACCTTGGAATATAAATATTTAACTTTCTACAGATCACTGAAGACTCGATAAAACTCTTGAGCGTCACCTAACTAATTTGTCTCTATTTTTAATTGAAAAATCTTATTATTTTCATCCAAATATGTGGTCCAAATAAGAATGGAAAGGCAATTTGCAGTTCTTTTTAAATATCACTCATGCAAATAGGATTCACAAAGTCAGAGTGTTCAGAGTAAGACTTTGAAGGGAAAAAAGTCCTTTTAAAACCATAAGTTATTTCAAAAAGAGGAGTCACATCAAGAGGGCCAATGCTTTCTTCTTGCTTTTGGGTGTGGAGAGGTAAATGGCCAGGAAGGCAGGGTTGGGCTGTGTGTGGGGGTGATGTGAGCACCTTTGATATCCGAGGTGATGCTCCCCTGTGCTCGGCTGGTGGTGCAAATTCCATGGTGGGGAAAGGCAGAACAGAAGCCAGGCAGGCACTCCAGAGAGCCAGGCAGTGATAGTTTGTTCCCAGCAAAGACAGGGGAATGCTGGCACGAGCTAATTCAGCTAGCTCCAGTCTCCAAAATGTTTTTCTTGTTTAATGTTTACAGTAACTTCCCATGAGAACTGAAAAAATATATCCAAATACAATATTGATAGGAAAAGTCAGCCTGAAAATGCCAGTGTGAGGAAGGGATTCTACACACGGCATTTTAGACAGCATTTTCCAACTCTTTTCAATAAATTAACTAAATATAGTACTTCTTTATTGTTTGCATTTATTTAGATTACTCAGTTTATTGCAAGATTCTAATTTGACAAAATTGTTTTTTTTTTTACTTTGAGAACTTGTAGATTTAAATATTTTAAAATATTTTATTTTAGACTTTTTTCCCTCATCTCCTATAGAAACCAAAGGAGATTGTTTATGTCTTGACATATTTAATCTTGTTAAGTTCTGATATTAAAAAAAAAAAAAAAACCAAATAAAACCCCCAAAAATGTAAATCATTTGAGTGCTAGGAAGTACTAGGAAAGGGACTGAACATGAAAAGGAAAATATAATTATATTACCATATTAGCATGTTGTTTTAAGAGCCCATAGATTCAACATTTAATTAATTTCTGATCATTTTAACCTAAAATGGGATATAGTAAAAAAGGCAAAGTGAATTGAAGGCTGATTAAGGAAACAAATTGTTTTTATATTAAGTACATACAAATATATGAAGATTATACAAGACAGAAAACACAAACAAGAGGGGAATTACAAAGATCTGAAGCAGCATTATTTGCCTGGGGAAGACATGTTTATATGCAATGACTATTCACTGCTTCTCTAAATACTGGAAACAATGGAAATCAAATGATGTTTTCATATAGTAGGCTTAAACCAAAAATATGCAATGTTTTTTTCCTACATAAAAAAGGTATTAATCTGTGTAACTTGTTGCTAAAGTATTCGCCAATGCCAAAAATTTACATAAATTTAAAAACTCATTTAGCAGACTCAAAGAAGAATAATCTTTGAAAGGCTAATAGATATAAGTTAAAACCTGCTATTCAGGAAAAAACATGAATTTCAGATCAGAAAAGCTGTTAGATTTTACTAGGAAAGTAGATTTTTTAATAAATGTTGCTGTGTTTTAATACTGTTCAGTAGAGGAACTACTCTTCTTGCATTTCCCTTGATCAATCCTGAAAGCAAAAAACTACATGTAAGTTTTGTTCTACCCCAAAACATTACCTTTCTTCTGGAGTTCAAAAAACCTGAACAAACACCCAAAATTTAGCAAAAGTAAATATTTTGATTGTCAGAAAAATGTTTGGCAGGTTTCAGTGAAATAAGGTTAAAAAGAAACAGTTAAAAAGCAGACTACCTATTTACAAAACAGAAAATCTCATTTTCCTCCCACATATATTCATATCTATTTGCAGTCATTACAGGTAAGAGCATACTGCTGTTGAGGATACTTACGCATACAATTACACAAAAAATATAGCAGCTAAAGTAGTAAAACAGGCAGAATAAGATAATACAAAAGTTAGGCTTGTTTTATACTGGACTGTGTTTAAAATTTTATTATGAGATTTGGACCAACTCCATTGAAAAAAATTAGAGAATCCCTTCCTATTGTTTTTGTGACATTTTATTTTGGGATTATTTTGTTATTCTCCTTATTATCTCATCTGCTCACTCTTTGCAGTTAGTTATCTAATCTCCTTCAAAGTCTTAGTAAGCATAGGCCTGTCTTTTCTGGTGATTGATACAGAACTACCCTGATCGATTAAACAGGGGCACATCTAATCCTATCACACCAAAAGGAAATAAATAAGAAAAAACATTAAAGCACAAATCTTCAGAATGTGAGATATAAAATTGATTTTATTGCCTCTAAAGATAGTGCTTTAATTCTGCAAATTTGATTTCACATTATATCTAGAAAGTCCTAGCTACAATAGTTCATATTTATGCTAATATTGCCACTTTTGTTCTGAAAAATCTGGATGTTACATAGGTGTGACCATCCACCCCTAAGGAGAAGCAATTTTGTTAAACTATCTGAAGCTAAACCAACTGCAGTTGTAAAAAGCAGACAAATGTTACACAGAAACTGGGGCTTTTTTTTTTTTTCTTTAAAAAGAAACCTTTTCCTTTCTGTCTCAGAAACCTGGAATATTATTGATTTCAATGATAAATATTTTCTCTTCCTACAAAATCTTGATTTTTCCTAGCCTTAAGCGATCATGTCTGTGATCATGCTACTGAAATAGGGAGGTCCTGGAAGACCAGCAAACTGAGAGAGGACGGAGAAGTCGGAGCCATGGCTATGTGTCTAGGTAAGCTATCCTTCTGTTAATACTATGGAGAAGCTGTGATTATCTAGTACAGCTGGAACTGGATCTGCTTGCTCTGAACAGCTGGGAGAGCAAAGGTGAAGCGTCAGCTATTTAGTGTAATTCCGTGTGCTCTAAAATTCAAAATGTCATGGGAGTGATGCATCGCATTGGCTTGTCAGACTGGTCCTTCCGTGGTACAGATTATGTCTGAGTCTGTCTGAGATTGCTCAGTGTTTGAGATAAGGAAAGACTTTGAATCTTGCTAAAATCCCTTAAGAAACCAGACACCTGAACTGCAAACAGATGACATAAGCAGCAGCAGTCAATAATTTGGAAGTTTATCTCTCACTTGTACAATTCAGTGGGTGTTTAAACATTGATTTCCTTGAAATTAGAATCAGGCTCCCAGGTTCTAAATTAATTTTTAACTAATGTACAGAAGGAAATGCTCCATTAAATTGCTGCTACTGTATTACTTGTCACAACACCAACACCACCTTTTGCTGTTGCAGAGGCCTCAGTTCAGCAGCCTCTCATCCTCCAAACTGCTTGAAATAAATAGCACTCTATTCAGTCTCCCAGCACATGGAAGTCCATTAGGCTAAACCTCATATAGAGAAAAAAAGAGATGGAATTTTATGTGATTGTTATTTACATTTAATAGTAAAATAAGTGTTGAAAAATAGTCTTTTAAGGCTGAAATGTTGAAGTTTTGTTTATCTAGGACTTTGTGTCAGAAGTTTCCTTTGTTTCGTGGACTCTCTAAAGGTGGGTAAAAATTTCTGACCTGCAGTCTGAGGTCAAAGTATGAGCCTCTCCTTCCTGAAGTTTTCAACTTTGCATAGAGCTGCTGGACTAGAATATATTCATATGATGTTCAGTTGTCCTCATCTTCCTTTCATTAAGGGCAATGTGGATATTCAGTGAAGTTGCCAATCAGCTGTGCTTGACATTACTGGACTAGGTCAGGAAGTCGAAAGTTTTGTTAAGTGCCTTCAGTGCAGGAGCAATTAGAACCTGATAGCCTTTTATTTTTCTTGTCACATGGTGGTTTTTTGAAATATAATGTGACAGAAACCAATGCAGTGGAGTGATTTTTCTTATAACTAGCTCATCTAGCATTGCTGTCAAGTTAAGTTACTGTTTTAAGAGGAAATCACCAAATATCATATTTATGGTTTTGCTATCATAAATCACATCATCATAATTGAGATAGAAAATCTACAATAATTATACTATCCTCTCTATTTTTTCTATTAATTCTGCTATATATCAATGGGCAGGGAAATAACAGCTGATATATATGCAGTACATACAGTTACATACATGTAGCTGCTACTTCATTTATAAAAGGAAAGCAGCTTCTCCACAATCTGTGGCATGTTCCCATAGCTGTAAATGGGCATGTGAAAGCAAACATAGTTGCATATCAACAGGTTATGCTATCAGACTGCTTGACCCTTTGAGGTCAATGAAAAGAATGGTAACAAATTCAGTGGGCTTTTCAGTTAGATTCTGGGTATTATGTACCTATTCACCACAGATGTGTATTTCAACTGCAGAAATAAACAAAAGTATTCACAGGTAAAGGTATCATCCTTAAGGCGGGACTGCATTGCTTTCACTTACTAACCAAAACTTGCTTGGTTTGGTTCAGGAGGTTTTTAAACAGCTTCACTCTTGTTGCAGTAAAATAGAAACAAAAATTTACTTAAAACATTTTCCTCTCCTCCCTGCATAATTTCAAAAAGCAGTTTGGTGGCTCATGAATGGCTTCAATTAAGGAAAAATATGTTTAATTTGTTTAAGACAATAATTTGAAAAAATCACGCTTAGAAATTTAAATTAACATAATGAACAGAAAAAAAAGCCTCTTCTAATCTTGATATTGTTTTAGGTTGAATACATTTCATTGTTGACATTTGAATTTGTTACTGGTTGAAGTTTAAATTACAACAATGAAGGCATATTTGCTTCAGGTTTAAATTTCTCTTTGTTTAATACAGCTGTCAAGTAATGAGAAAAAGTCGGATCATAAAAGTAATGTTTTTAAAGATAAAAATATTTTATAAGATGGTCAAATTTCATTTGTCATAGCTTCAAAAAAGGAATGGCTTAGTTCAAATTTGCAAATCCGTGAGCAAAAAATTGTGTATCTGATTTGCTTCATTCGTAAAGGCAAGCTGAAACAAATTATTCCTTGCTGAAGCTCACAGTAAGAATATCTCCTGGTTTCCCAAACTATTGCAGAGCATAGGTTTTAAAAGCTATCTTGAAGTCCATGATGAAGAAAGAACTTACTTCTACTTCTCTGTTTCACCTGATAACCTTTATAAATGCTCTGAAAAAATTCAGGCTTAAATGTAAATTTTGTGTCTATTCAGAATTATTCTCTTGAAAGAGCTAAGAAATAGTCCAGGTCAAAGAAACCTTGAGGGGATCATATTTGGGTGAAATTAATGATTCTTCCAAAACTGCATTTTTTATATATGGGATGTAATTTGCAAAATTTCATTTTGAGGGGGAAAAATATTACCACAATGTTAAGCAATCTTATTTTACCATTTTCATAACAATTAAGTTTTGCTGTTGATTTTACTGCCTGCATTTTCGATTTCTATTTTGGGTTATTTTCCACACTCTGTAAATTACAACACTTTAAAAGTTTAACCAACCACAGGAATTTTCCTTCCCTGATGTCAGCCCTATTAAAACTTACCTTCCTGGAGGATTTGGAATCTGGAAGATTTGTTATACATTGATTTTTTTTTTTCCCAAAATGGAACTTCCAGCCCCTCCACAGCTCTAAGGGTTGATTTGATAAGAGGTCTTTATTGGGTGATTCAGATTTCATGTAAAAGAGTGACAATTCTGCAAAAGGCTCTCTCAAAGTGCCCAATGCTTGGTGCACCTGCAGTAGAGGTGATCAGACCAGCTGAGGAAGTTGTATGCTTACACCTGGGGCAATTCAGGACAGAACTGGCTGTCCAGTCTGAAAAGCTTACACTTCCATAGTGGTGACCTGGTTCTCTGAGTTATTTTTAAAGTAAAACCTGAAATCTGCCCAGCTCGGTGTAAAGAAAGTGTGGCTGGACCAGATGATCCCACCATGGTCCCTCCCAACCTTATCCTTTCTGTGATTCAGAGAAAGCAGCAAACTGCTTTTCCCTCCAGGAGGATGCTCAGGGCTGGAGGTGAGATATGGCAGGTACATGCCACTGGGACATAGGTGAGAGAGACATTTCTGGCGTGCTCCTGACCACAGAGTCTCCCTCTTGGCTAATTATTTTCCAGTGATTGCTGCGCTGGGGAACACTGAGTGGCTCCAGCCCCATGATTGCCTTTTAGTGTGCTGCTGTGGGGGCTGGGGCTGTCTGAATGCTCCCTGCAAAGGAACCTGTGCACCCATTGTTTACTCACCTAAATCCTTTGCAGACACAGGCCCGCGGTAAAAACAAAACTCCAACTGAGGCAGAGGACATTTAGGGCAGGACTATCCAAAATGAAGTTGTTTAACAAAGATAATCTCCTGTTCAGATATCACAGTGCACTATTTTGTAGTGAAATGGTTGCATTTTAATTACTTATCTTAATTACAAATTAATTACTTTAATTACTTATTTACAAATCTGAAAAAAAATGCTGGTTTGTTTTTCAAAGCTTTCTGTATTTATCATTTCAATTGACTTCACTGCTTATATACTATTGTTTATGCTAATTATACATCATAGCTATTAAATTTATATTTTTCATGCAGTCTCTTGGGTATTTTCTTTCTTTGATGTTCCACAGGGATATATGGTTCTGTTAAGAAAAGAGTAAATTTTACATTACTTCATATGGCTCGTTGTTCTGACTGTTGCTGTGTATTTCCAGCAACATATTCAGGCTTTTTTGAAAGTTTTGTTGTAACAGACTGCCAGAGTCTGAAAGAGCATTTCAGGACTAGTGCTTGAAATGCATATACTTTTTCCAGGCCAATTGAGTAATGAAAACATATTTAATTATTTCCAGGCTCTTGAATGGTGTACAGTGTAATTAACTATGATGCGGATTTCCAGGCTAATTAAAGCAAAGTGTGGTACCAAATTAATTGGACACAAAAGTACTTCTGAAGAGCAATAAAACAAGTTTATCTCTTGTGTTTCATAAAAGTAACATGAAAGTGGTATGAATGCAGTATATTAAAAAAATCTAGGAATATTGTTAAGATAATCTTCAAGGCAAGACAAATTTTTGTCAGTTCATTTAAGAATCAAGTGGGTCTTTGCCTTATTTGATTCAAGCCTTGTTCCTTTGAAGTGGAACTGCCAACCAACATGCTGGACATCATGTCACACAATCCCTATACCATTTTCTCCTTAGTCAGGAAAATCTTTCCCTATCAGCTACTTGAATTGTCATGAATCCAGTGCCTCCCAAGATTTTTGACATCTGCTAGTTGTCCTAACAATTTCTGGAGTTATACTAAATTTTATGAATTGCAGCTTTCTTAGAAGGGCAAAAGTATGTACAGGAGAAGTCTGAGAATTCTGTCATGTCCTAAAAAGTGAGGGAAGGCGAAGGGAAGGGAAGGGAAGGGAAGGGAAGGGAAGGGAAGGGAAGGGAAGGGAAGGGAAGGGAAGGGAAGGGAAGGGAAGGGAAGTCCCTTAGAAACTGAAAAGATATTCCTATCTTGTTACTTTTTTTTCATTGCTCTGTCCTTATTTTTGTTATCTCATTATAAACAGAAAATTCTGTGTGAATAAAGATAATGAATAATTATATTTACATTTCCTTCAAATTGCAGCCTATATGTTTCTCTCTGATACTGCAAAATATTTTGAGGTGTCTATGTCTTCTGATTCATAATGCACAGCAGAGGAAAAACTCAGATGGGTTTAAATTTTACAGGCCTGTTAGTCTCACCTCAGTGCCTGGTAAAGTTATGAATATTATTCTGGGGAGTATTGAAAAATGTCTGAAGGACAATACTATCATCAGTCAGGGTGGCATCATGAGGGGAAAGCCCTGCTTATAAAACCTGATTTCCTTTTATGACAAAGTAAGCCACCTAGCTGATTGAGGGAAGCCAGTTGATGCACTTTTGAATTTCAGCAAAGTTTTGATATTGTTTCTCATTATATCCTCCTGGACAAAATGTCCAGCCTTCAGCTGCACAAAAACATCATGTGATGGGAGAGCAAGTGGCTCATGGGTCGAGTGCAGGGGGTTACACTGAATGGTGCTGCTGCCATCCTGGCACTAGTGGGGTTCTGCAGGCCTCCCTCTTACGCCCAGCTCTCTTCAATATCTTCATTAACAAATTGAATGTAGGACTCAAAGGGGTAGTAAGCAACTTTGTGGATGATATAACATTAGGAGGAGCTGATGACTTTCTTAAAGAGAGGCCCTGCAAAGAGATTTCAATAAATCAGTTGCCAAATGTATGAAGCTTAACAAAGACAAGTGGCAGATTCTGCACCTGCAGTGGGGCACCCTGGATGCATGACAGGCTGGGGAGGGAGAGGCTGGAGAGCAGCACTGCAGAAAGGGACCTGGAGGATCTGGTCAGTGGGAAGTTGAACATGAGTTTGCAGTGTCCTGGCAGCCAGGAGGGCCAAGCGTGTCCTAGGGGACACCAGACACAGCACCGCCAGCCAGGCAAGGGAGGGGATTGTTCCCCTCTGCTCTGCACTGGGGCAGCCTCACCCTGAACACTGTGTGCAGTTTTTGGCACCTCAATATAAGAGAGACATTGAACTATTAGAGAGCATTTAGAGGAGAACGATGAGGAAGGATTTGGAGGGGAAGCCTCGTGAGGAGCAGCTGAGGTCACTTGGTCTGTTCAGCCTGAAGGAGAGAAAACCTCACTGCAGCTGCAACTTCCTGGAGAGGGGAAGAGGAGAGGCAGACACTGATCTCCTCTCTTCAGTGACCAGTGACAGGATGTGGGGGAATGGGCTTAACTTGTGTTGGGTGAGGTTTAGTTTGGATATCAGAAAAAGATATCTTCACCCAGAAGATACCTAAAATATATCTTCACACAGATGGTGGCTGGCACTGGAATGAGTTCCCCAGGGAAGTGGTGTCACAGCACCAAGAGTGACAAATCTTAAAAAACATTAGGTCATTGTTCTCAATCACATAGTGTGATTCTTTGGACTGTCCCATGCAGGAGTTGGACTTCACTGAACCTTGTGAGTCCCTTCTTAGCTCAGAATACTGATTCTGTGATACTTTAATGCCAGAGTGTAACTGGTGTGAACCAAGGAAGTGAGAAAGTGGCAGAAGTTTTCTTGTTATTCAAAGAATAGCTACAACAGAAACGAGTTCTTTCTTTGGGTATGTAAAATCCTCAAAGTAAAGATGGCAAATATAATTTTGCTTTTTTCTGCTTCAGTGTGATCCAAGAAACTAGTTATGAAGAGGTGGCAGAGGTTCCTGCCACCTCATGGAAGGTGGCAGGCACCTTTACCATCTCTCCTTGGCAATCAATCTCTCTTATAGATCCATTTCTGGAGATCTGGCATCATTTGGCTATTTTTCATGAAGAGGAGAAGGCAATACTATGCCAAGATCCCTCCTTTAAAAGGCATAATCATTGTATTTGTTTCTTTGATTTCAAACATGGGTTGTAGCCAGTAGTTCTAATTTGATCTGGACTATAAATGGAGTGTTAGAAGAGGAAAACACATCAAAACCAAAACACACCTGAAACGCCTTTTAACTCTTAGCACCTATGATAATGTTTGTCATCTTTACAGTGCCTGGAACTGCCTCATGTTCTACATGTTCTTCCAAGAATCCCTTGTAACACTGATGGTGCTGGAAAAATTAGTGATGGCCTGAACTCATGCTTAAAAAACTGAAGCTGTACAGTCCATAATTACAGTTAAACTGTAACCTGAGACTGCTCATACTCAGCCAGACATAAAATGAGACTGTAAGCTCCTGAACCCTTGACAACAATGTCAATCCCATTGATGTTATCGCCAGTTAAACTATTCCCACTGGGAATTAACTGTAAAAAAAATCCAAGTAGAGGAAAAGTTGCTGTTCATACAGTTGTTATAGAGAGAAATTAAGAAATATTTTCCCCATTCATGCCATTGAATCTACACTTGTATAGACGAAATTTAAAATGTTTTGACATTTTCAGACTTCTACCTAAAACAGTTCACAGCTAACTAAAGGAGACAATTCTGTTGGCTTTGATATATAGCTCTACAAATAATTTAGGCATTAGGGAGATGACCTGCAGGACTATTTTCATTTGAGTTTTTCTTTTTTAAAGGGCTAAGTCTGTGTTTTTCTTTTAATTTTTTTAAGAGCTGTAGACCTTGTGTCCTCAGCAGAGACAAGATGAACAATACAAAGCTTTAAGTTTAAGAGGAAACAGACACAGAAATGAGTTTTTTCTAATTTATTTGTTGTTGAGTTTTTTTCCAAAATCCTTTCGTCTCACTGCAGCAAAAGGCAGCAACAATATCTTAGAGTGGAAGAGCCCAGAAGATGGTAATAGGCTTTACTGGCCCTGACCTGTCTCCTCTGAGGCATTCACCCCTGAAATGATCTCATTTAAGCTCAGGTTTGTGAATTTAGTCTTTTTCTGATGTGAATGTGTCAGTCCTGTTCGTCTCCTTGTTTAGATGTGTTGTGTTGTCTCTAGCCCTCTCTCTGTCCCAAGTGTTTTTTGTCACTGACTGGGCTTTCTCCTTGTCACACTGGTGGTTCCTGTTGCCAGTGCTTGTTCTGTCTGTTCTGTGAGGCTCCTGCTCCCCTTTGCGCTCAGCTGCTAAGAGGACAGTGGTTCCCTGAGGTGCAGTGCGTTATGTCATTTGATCCCCATGCAGTGCTCTGGAACACAGGGATATGTTCTGGGAAATGTTTTCCTTCAGACCACTGTTTAGTGCATCACTTTAGTCTTGAGTAGGAAAGGAAGAATTATGTTTCTTAAATAACCAAGGATTACATGATAATTTACAATGCAGTGACCTAATTCTCAAGACACTCAGCAAAAGCTGTTTCTATTAGTTTCAGGGGCAGATGGGGTTCAGCTCTTCTGCAACTCAACCCCATATATGTTAAGGCCCTGGCCTACCACGTAGAAGAGTTTCAATAATTCCAGTTTCTCTGTTGGTCTCTAAAATGGTTTGTACATTTAGGAGGTAATTAAAGCTTTGGGCTGTGCTCTTAACCAGTTCCTATAACAGAGACAAGAAACAGATGATTAAGAGTTATGTTCCATTTATGCCAGCCAGGGGACAAATATTCTTGCTCGAGGTTCAGGATGGATTGACTTTAATCCAATTTCTGCCTTCACAGCAGTGAAAAGGGGGTGGAGTGAATATGTATGCCTCAAAACAGACTAACCTTGTTTTTGTCAGTCCTGCTGTGTCTAAATCTCTACTAATACTGAATGAGCATTTGAGTCAATCACCAGAATACATTGCACCCTAGTGCAGATAAAGCTAGGGATGAATTAAGTCCTTTGCATTTTATTGTGGTAGCTTGAAAAAGAGATTAATTTGTCCACTTGATACACTTGGTTAAAGTGAAATATGCTACACTAGTCCAACAGAGATGAGGAAAATATTTGAGGTTTACTTATTAGTGCAGGTTTAAAACCACTAACAGATGCTAGTTTTCATTTTGCAAAAGCTATTCTGCATGTGAAAGAAGGAATATATCAGGTTTTCATAGTTCACAGTGAACCAGTGAACCACTTGTTCAGACTGGAATTAGACTGAAGGAAATGGTCGTTTTCTCTGGATTATCAGCTGTTCAAACTCTGCTGGCAATGTTTACAAGAAAAGATTTTTTTTTGGTACAAGGAAAGATTTTTATGTACGTTGTCCTCATCTGCCATCTGGGTTTTGACTAAGTCTGTGAAACAAATAAAATTACCAGGGGAAGACAGCTCAAAACAGAATTCCTCTCTGTAAAATGGCTCAATTCCATTTCCCTTCTTAGGTAAAGTAAGAGAGTTATGTTTGAAGGAGCCTTAACATGAACACATACATGTGACATATATGCAATGCAGTTCAAGCGTTTTTCACCGCTCCTTGATTTTTAGAGTGAACATATGGCTGAATACAAGATTAGTTAATATCAACTTTGATTCTCATTCATCCCTCCCCTCCCCATGTATATTGTGCATCACCCTCTCCTTCATTCATAGATTTTTTTCTCCCCTCTTTTAAAAATGTTCTTTTGTTTCCAAAACAAGATTAAATAAACTGATACTACCACTTATTTTGAACAATGACACTGCACAGTATGAGAAATATCAGATTAAAAGCTATTCAAAAAGCACATAACATTTTCTAATGCTCTGTGAAATGTAATGTAAAGAGAACATGTATGTGTTGACCAGTTTCCAGAAAATTTACACTTCTGGTGTGTTCTTTTCTAAGATTCAAGAAGTATATAGAAAAACATATACTTGATTTGATAAACTAAAAATGTGCATATAATGAAATTATCTGCAAATATCTGTCATGGACTGTTAACAAGGTCACAGTGACTAACAGGGGCTTATCAGGTGTTACTATGTATTTATAAATGGCAAAATTAAAAAGGGACACCAGGCAGTATGGCAGACAGTTTTCTGTACTCTGCAAAGGCAAAAATTGAACTAAAATGCTGAAAGTGAAAACTCTAAGAGTGTAAAAGTCAATATTGCTGTGCCTCTTCTTCGTATGGCCAATATATTGAGTTTTGAAACATTAAACTAATTTCTTGTGCAGTGTCTTGGAGAGATAGACAGCAGGACTAGGCTTCTCAACAGTCAAGACTCTAATTTGGGTAGGCACAGGGTATAAAAAATAGATTAGGTACCTTATCTAGCCAATAAGAAAAACAGAGAGAAGGCTTTTGTTTGATTCTGCCCCTCCGCCTTTTTCTTTTCACTTCTAGGCTGAAGTCTTGAGACTTTTCCATGTTTTATTCAATCTTTTTCTTTGAAATCATGTTTTGGGTGTGGGACAGAGAAGAACTTCTTTATATTTATTGATCATTATGGAGAGATAGTCTGACTGACACTCTGAAACGGTAGACTGAAATCCAAGTTCTTGTCAGTTTGTGGATATCCCAATCAGCACTTTCTAATATACTATGAGAACAAATTGTTTAGAAAAGTATTGTATCTTGCTGCTTTCAAATCAAGTGCATGTCTTACTGAAATTATATAATTGACATAGGCTATTTGTCAATGATAAGTAATTAAAATCCTTAGATTATAGCATGGAGACAATATAATACTCACCTCTGGCCTTAAAATCTGTTGTCAAGAGTCTTTGACTTGTAGGTCAGACACTAATCTTTATTCATTTGATTTCACTTTCATTGTTTTTTTTTTCCTCTTTGTGCACATTAAATTGATACATGCTTTAAATTATTTTCCTGATTGTGAAATTTATAATTTCAAAGAATGGATAGAACTGTTCTTGAGACTTACCATTTCACTTGGAATCCTTTTTATATGTTGATGATTTGTCTGGCATAATTGTGATTGAAGGAGATTTTTTTCTGACCTTTTCTTTCTTTTCAGTCCTGTTCATGGATGATTTTTTTCCCCTGCATCACAGTAATATCTGCAAGCTAGTAAATACCCTTGAGCTTAATGGTTATTAATTAGTGCCTTACCAGACAGCTTATTGGTTTTGTATTTATACAGTATTAGTATGTTTCTTCCCTTCCACTTCATTACAGATCATATTTATACAAATGCTGGCTGGCTGCCTAGTCTTACTTTTCTGTACGTGTGGAAATAACAGAAAGATCTGCGTAGGTCTTTACAGATGGGAATGGTCAGATCATATGAAATCAATTGTGAAGACCATATTGGAAATCTAAGTCAGATGATTCTTCTAGCAATGGCAATATTTTGTTTAATAGAAATGAGCTTCAATTTCACCCTTAGTGAAGTGTATTTGACTGTTTGGAAGGACTGCAAGGACTGTAAAGGCATTCATAACTATCAGCTGAACTTCAGGTACAGGCTTGAGGTCTGGTGATAGGCAAGAGAAAAGGCTGCAGCAGGCACTGCATTGCTGATTATGGGAATATTATGTACTACAGTACACCTCACATATTGTTTGTTTATACCTACTTTTACTACTAAGTGCAGTTAGGAAGACCACAGACAAAAAAGCAGGCCAGAAGAAAATGGCACTTAAGGTCTCTGTATGTTCTTTCTTTTCTCCCACCCATTATACCCTACAATCAGAATGTAGTAAGGCACTTCTCTAGCAAAATAGGATGTTTTAAAAAAACCCCAAACACCCAACCAACCCTGTGCAAAATTTCTGTGATACTTTATATGTATTTATATCTCAAAGATTTCACTTTCCTATAAAATCTCAAGTTAGCTGTCCTCCCACTCTGCTGGGGAGTGAAGCACGTCAAGTGAAGCATCTCTAAGCCCCAGAAGAAAATGCTATCTTTGTAAGCTTCTCTGCAAGACATCCTCCTGATAGGATAGCTCCCTTTCATCCTCTCACTTAGTCTGCAGCAGTTTTCCCACCCAGTCTGCCCCTTTTCATGTTTTATTTTCTCAAGACTTTCCCATTTTCATCCTTAACCTATGAGCACTTTTTCCAGATGTGTGGCAAACGCTGCCTTTTCAGAACACAGTTTTGAAAACAAAAACATTCCAGGGGCTAATTTCTCTCAGAACATTGATGTCTTTGTGTGAGTAGATACCAGATGAGTTCAGAAGCTTGGGGGAGGCCTCTCCTTTCAGCCTTCCTGGTAATATGAGTCAAAACTCTATATACTCAGCATGAAAAGGAAACCTGCTTCCTCTAGCACCGGATGGGGCAGAAAAATATCTGCAGCTGAGCTGATATTATTCCTTATGGTGGTTTAGTTGTTTATTTTGAGATTTTGCTATTTCATGATTTGGTAGAATCATTCTGTAATTATTACAAGGTGTCCAATGCTTTGAATTCCTCTTAGCAAAATGCTTGAAGCTGATTTCAGGGACAGATTACAAATTTGAAGACAGAACTGGGTCCTTTGATTTGACCTGTCTTCTCTGATGGGGAGTCATGACCCCTATAAATAAAGTAGTACCTATTGAGGCTGATGGAGATCATGGCCCATGTTTATGGATGTACAATGCTTTTTAATAAGCTACTTTTTATCTATAGTGGAAGAGTTTGGAAAGATTAAGGCACTAAGAGGAACAGATGAACAGTGAGACCACAAGTTCAGAAATGTCTTGGGACAAAAGCTACTAACGAAAACACTTGTCTGTTAGTAATTTCTCCTGAAACTCTGAACATGCTGGAGAAAATGTAGTCTCAAATTAAATTAAAGAATCCTAAATTATTGATAGTTTTGCTATACGTGGACCTGCTTTTTAAGGTATTTTAGTTAACTTTTGCTTTTGGCTGAAAGCTAATCTAAGCCCCTCTGTTATTCAAACAGCTCAAATATTTTCAGTTTACTTCCTAGAACTTTTTGGAGAGAGCCTGAAATGGCTTTTGGCTGTGTTAACACATCCTGGAAATATCTAATGGCTCAAACCAAGCCCAGTGCAGCTGCTGTAGAGAAGATGTTCATAATCTTAAACATCTTGGAAAGATGTTGTAGTAATGGATCATGACAGCTAAAAACAAGGTCCTTTCCGGTCTCTGTCATTACTCAGACTTAACACTACTTGAATAATGTCAAGAATTATTTTGAGTAATTGACTCAAATACTTACTGAATACACTCTTTCTAGTTGTGATCCATCCTAGCAAAGACATAGAGAAAATATAGAGAACATTTCCTTTCAAATTTTCTAAATGTATATGAAGTGTCAATTTCTAAGAAATGTTTTAAAAATAACAGGACAAACATATTAAATAGCACATATATCTTCACAGTTTTTTTTATCCCAAACTTAATATTTTGACAAAATGGAATTGACTTTCCCTGCCCATTCATTCCTTGATCACAAGTCTGACACTGGCAGTAAATTGCAGCCTATTGTAGGTATATGAATAGGATGTAATCCAATAAAAATACAGTGTATTCCTGCAAGTTTTCAACTATTCATGAGAGAATAATTATCTTTAGTCTTAATCAGCTTGGACCAGGAAAGAAGCACTAATTGTATTAATCCCATAGCTCTGTTATGCACAAACTCATGTAGTACTTGTTCATTTTAATTTAATTTGTATTATCTGAAAGGTTTTTCCTCACAGGTGCATAAGAAACAGAGTGATAATTTTTCTTTGATTCTACACTTACTTTTATGTTGTTGTAATCTGAGGCCTACATTTTATCCTCAGAGATTTTGGGGTGACTGTTAATATTGCTTATTAATTAAATGCAGGAGATACTTCACAGTGACAGTAAGTGTGAGTGACATTTGATTAGATAGATTGATTAGGTTAAACTACTCAAGTTTGTCTTGTCAATTGTAAACTTTGTTTCATTCTCTCTCCACATTCTCTCTAAAGAGAGACAGATTTATAGACTGTATACCATCAGATCAATATGCATTAAAGACTGTCAGTTTAAAAAAAAAAGTAAGAAAGAATTTGTGTAATTGGCTCACTAAGGACTACAAATGAAATTATGGCACATTGATGTTTCATTGGCGCAAATTATCCACTGTCTTACACGTTATTAAGCATAAATAGAAGGATAATCTAATGTCATTACAGGATCACTTGCAGAATTTAAAATTCTTTCCCAGAATGATTTTCCTGACATCTATTTAAGAGATGTTCAAGTAGTGCTTGTTCTTTAAAAAAAATCCATGACTGGAGTTACTTTGGAAAAAGGTTTCAATTAAGGATTGTTTTCATTTCCAGTCATGTTTGTCATGTCTTGTCTGACTAATTAAAACTGGTTTTTTTCCCCTTTTACTCTAGTTGGGCTATTTATTGTCTTTTCAAGGATCAAAGTGTGGCTTGCTGGTTTAATATTCTTTAAGAAATGTTTATTGCATAAAGTAAGTATTTTATCAGTGTTTTCACATCCTAAAAGAAATCTATTCTGACTTCCTGGGATTCCCTCAAAGTCAACAGAAAGGCAAGGTTTCACCCTTATTTTATCTCTGTTTATGAGAAATGTGATTAATCAGGGATAAGAAGGATCAGTTTTTGGAAGAATTATTAGGAATGTGCTACAAGGTCACAGAGATTAATCTATTGGTTGATAGATTTCTCCTGGATTTCCTCTTCACATGAGTTGTTACCTGTGAAGTAGATAGGATGTTGCTTTGCCAAAAGGGCTTGTTAGAGTCTTATATTTTATAAATTGTTATGGTTTAATAGTTTGTAACTAGTAACAAAGCCTCCTTTCTTCTTGTATTTCACCGGACAACAATTCCTTCTTCTTGAGAAATGAGAGTGATGTGATTGTGAATCAAAGTGACCTGGCAGGGCCATGTGAGCATTCTTTCTAACAGGTTTTGCTGAACAGTTCCTTTCCTTACACACCATCTTTCCATAAGAAAGAGCTGCAAAGCTGATTATGACCTTTCTGCACTAAAAACATAAACCCAGCTAATGTGGTTGTGGGTTCTTTGGGATCCTGGAGTACCTGCCTGTTTCTCAGTACTTTCTGTGCCTTTTCTTACTCTAATTTCATTCATTGCAAGCAAGGTTGAACTTGTTTGCTAATAGAATGGGGTGTCCCTGGAGCTTTCAGCAGTTAGTCTGTTTCCTGAGAAAAAAGTGAACAGAATTGCCTTCTCCAGTTTCCAGGGTGGCTGATATTGGGTCAACCCAAAGATCAGGTTTAGTAAAGTGGAGTTTGAGCAAGTGTAGCAAGCACCCTGTCAAAACTGAATTGATAATTTTTACTTTTTCCATGCTGCAAACTCAGAAACTATAGAGAATATTCCATTGCTGTAAAAATTCCTTCTTTACTACCCCTACCATTAAGAAGTATCCTCTAAGGCCTAAAATATTTTATCTAGCTATTATGCCAATTTAATCTTAAATTAACTTCTGAATTAAAGATGATATGCTTTCTTTAGCTGTACTAATGAATATATTTTCACAGTAAGGTTGATTGATTTAAAACATTGTCTGCTCCATTAACATGTGGCAACATATAACATTAAAACCAAAAGTCTTCAATACTTGACTTTATAATTGAAAAATAAAAATGTTTGTCTTACAGGAGAATATTTTTGGTCAGTTAACAAATATTTCAGATGTTGAGCCAAAACTCCATCTGGAAATATCTCAGAATTAATGTCTGTGATTTTTTTTTTAATATTTTTTGGCATTTTTTTGGCAAGAACAGAAGTGATAATAGAATTGAGAGTGCCACAGCCAGATTGCACCTGGGGGAGGGGAGGAGTGATTTGGTTTCTATGTTGCTGCTGCTGTGAATGCTGACATCCCTGAAATCTCATGAGGTTGTTTTGAGTTTGAGGTGCAATTAAGATTAAAATCTATTTCATCAACACAATTTAGTCCTAAAGGTAGTCTCTAAGCCAGAACAGACACGAGGGATGTTTCATCCGAGTTGTGCTTTTATGACAGGGGAGGTAGAGAATAACTGTCTGAGCAATAAAAAAATTCTGTAACAACTGGCGCTGTTTATTACTGCTGAAAGTGGCTTCATGTAAAGGCAAGGTGGATGTCACAGTCACATGGATCTTGCTCTGACCAAGGAGGGAACACTTTGGGTGTCTGATATGATATCTGTAGTGACCAAGACTGAGTCCCTATTAAGAAACTGGGACTCAGATTAGCATTTTGTCTGTTCAATCTAGTTGGATGAACCATATATATAATGGATTCCTTAATACTTTTGTAGTATTTTTTTTCAATAAATCAAGTAATTTATGCTTATTTATAAGTGATGGATTTCATTTTAGGAATTGTAAGAAAAACAGCAATTTCGAGTCTTCTTCTGGAAAATATTTGGGTTTAGAGAGTAGGCTTTCTCTGACAATGTCTGAAACTTTTTTTGCTTTTAACTGTTTTACATGGAAAAATCTAGGTGAAAACAATCAGCTGCTAAATATAAGACTGAAAACCTTTGGGCATGTGCAAGGTAAGCAGAAAAGTAAATAACAGAGATCACAAACTGAGTAAAAAACACACATGCTGTTACTAAAAAGCAAGCATCCAATCCAACATATGAACAAAGCTGCAGTTTGGAAGCTGCAAGGGTAAACTGCAAGGATTAGGCTTTCAGCCATTAGTGCCTATGAGCTCATTGCTTGAGTGATTGCTAGCCCAGCTGAAGAGAGACAAGGAAACAGTTCAGGACATAACCTACAAAACTGGAGTAAGAAGGAGGGTGTAATCTGTTATTTGTTTACATGGTGGGTGAATCAAGAAGTAATGCATTTGAACTGCACAAAGAAATTCCTCCTCAGGTCTCTCTTAGCCCCTTTTGTCCATGATGATATAGTACTAAAAATACTCTAAGCTATAACAAAAGCAAATGCAAATGAAATCTTCTTTTAAATAAATTTGAGAAAACAAGGGAGCTTATTAACAACAAACAAACAAACAACACAAAACTCAAAACAATAATAAAGTACCTCAAAACCCCAATAACAAACAATCCATCCAAACATAGCAAAGGACCACTAAAACAGCAACAAAAAAACCTCCTGAGGTATTGAAACTATGTGATCTGGGAGCTTTGAAAGACAATATTTTGAGAAGAGAAATTAATGTAAGAGAGGTTAATAATCAGAGGACTCAAATAGATTCAGAGAAGCAGAAATTCAGGACTGTTCAGTGATGACTTCACAGGAAGAGGATGAAGGCTTCTAAGTCGGGATCCAGCTCAGAGACTTTGAGAAGTGATGAAGCTATTGTTGGTTTTCTATGTTATGTTGGCAGGAAAAATTCTCTCCTTCATTTAAGAAGAGAAATCTACAATATTTTGGTACCTTGGTACTTTGATACAATCGTTCTTAATCTATAAAATAAATAATTCAATGTACAATATATTTTTATTTATAATTACTCTGCTCAATAAGGAGTATATCTTGATAATTAAAACATCCTGTAATTATTTTAGTGCTGAATTAGAACTGGAAGAAATATCCCAAAGCAAAACATTTCTGGGCCTGTGTTTCATTTGTGGTTTCTACTGACATATCATTATTAAATAGGTATAACACAGAACTACTGAGTGTACTCAGTATTTTGTTATCAAGGGAAGGTTTGGAAATGGTATCTGGAGACCCTTGCTACACATAAATATTATGGGCTTGAGCCCCTTGATATGACTTTTTGGTCACTAAGATACTTGGAGAAAAAAAATGCTTCTTTTAAATGAGGAAAATAACATAAATTTCATATAATAAATAAATAGAGGAAAAACATACTTGACTTCTGTTCAAAGAAAGGCCTGATTCACAATGCAATTAATGTTCCAAATGTCCCCAAGGTCAAGTTCTGAATCTTTATTTTTGCAATGTGCCAGTGATCAGACTGATCCTAAATTAATTTTTTTGCTCCTTTGTCCTCTTTCTGCATCAGGGTTATATATAAATCAAAGCACAGATAATGTAGTGTGCTGCATAAATTTTATTAGATGTGTTATATTGGTTTACTTCTGAGTTTGAGAATAATCAAATCCCATGTTTCAAGATATTGCTTGATCACTTTTTATCACAAAACAGTCATTGTGGTCTAGGTTCCTGCAAAGCATTTTACAAGTGTCTTTCAATTTCATCTATCTGGTAAACTTCATTCAGTAGAATAATGGATTAGAGAGCCTGTGTTTGTAAATTTTATTCAATATAAAAGACTACAACCCTCAGCAGATGAATGACTCCTCAGTGGCAGTCTTAGACATGGGCAGACAGGGCTATCATTGTTATTTGGGAGGGTCTTAAAGGGATAAGGAAATCTATGTAATTCAAGTAGGAAGTCTAACAGTGTTATTTGCAGTTGAAATACATTCAGGTAATTTCACAAGGCAAATAAATACACTAAAAAATGTATTGTTTTTGATAAAAGAAGCCCTACTTGAGATCATTAAGAAATATACAATTAATATTGAGAGAGAGATGCTTCCTATTTGGAATTCCTAAGTAAGAGCAGCAGGATGACATCCAGGCTATAGACTGAGGAGCTGTATGTGAGAAAATCACAAATGGTGAAGCTGTCAGTCTAGTAAGAGTATGTCTTAGATTTATATCATTCTTTTTATGATGACTATAATTTTGATTATGAAACTTACTTACCTTTTTATGTAGTGTTTAATTTCTTTTTGTATAAAATTATCAATAAATTGGCAAGTCTATGAAAGATCCTGTAATACTGAATTATTTACTGACAAGCCCTGTAGTTTTTTCCTGTAATTATCTGTAAGAGTTGATTTTTATATTAACAAATACATAATCAATTTCAAGAATGCACCCTAGTAAAGTTTTGGGACTGTGAATTCAACAGTTTAATTATATATTGTACTCATGCTGACATCTATTGTAGAGGTTTTTGCTGCTTTAAATTTTCTCAGGAATGACTTTGTGAAACAAATACTTTTTGTGATACAGAAGAAAAAAAAATAAAGTGGGAGAGACCAGAAGCAATTACAAAAAGTTGCAGCACCAGCATCAGCACCAACTCTTGTCTCAGTTCAATTTCAATATATTCTGCTTCTTGAAGTTGAAACTAAGAAGAGGTTTCTCTTAAGGCTTGTACCATTCCTGAAAGATCCTCTAATAAGACTGAGTACTGAAGAGAAATTTTGAAGCTTAGAGGAAGACAGATCTATCTTCATAATATTGCAGAAATGGCTATCTCCTAATCAGGTAAGAAATCCTATTTAGGTTATTTTCTCTAGCTGTTGTTAGCTCTATCTTATTTAAAAATAGTCTGGCACAGATGCTTATCCAGAGCAGCTCTGATGGCCTCATATGACTCTGATGCTGCAGCTGAGCTTGTTTGGCAAGGGAATTGTTGCAGCTGGTTAATTCCTACCAATTGGTAGGTTTTTGTCATCGGATGACACTCCTGATGTCCATTGACAAATTTTACTGTAGAGTAATCCTATTCCTTACAGGAGAGCAAGTGAGCTGGGACTTCTTCCTCAAATATGTGGTTGTATTTAGTTGTACAAATTTGGACTTCACATTTCAGAGCCTCCTGGAGGAGTAGTTTGACTAGACCTCTGTTTCATTGCTCAGGAAATTCCCCCCAAACTTTATAGACTTGCCAAATAAGCTATTCTCAGCTGGTACACATAAATGGGGTCTCCCCACCTCCTCTTTCAGTGAGCACCGTGTTTTTGCCCAGACACATGTACATGGGAAACAATTGCTTGCTACTGTTGATGCAACAAAGGTGCAAATCATACAACCGATGTTTGTTTTGTGTATGCCCTGTGTGCATAGTAGGAGGAATTGGGAGTGCCTGACTCAAGTTTTGCCAGCAATCAGAAAATCTCCCCTATATCAGAAACACAACAATTTCAGTGTGTCAATGTTTGATCATGTCTTCCCCAATGATTGCAAAAACAGATTTTCACTGGCTCTATTTTTTATGGCCTATTATATGGCTCTGAACCAAGTACTAGCAAAGGGCTATACTATTCTCCAACCATGTAAGATAAAAATAGATAATTTAGGTCCTGAATTGTAAAGTTGTTGTTGTTATCTCAATAACTCCCTTCAGTGGAGACTACATTCATTACACCATAACACTGTCATCCTTTTCAGATCATCCTTCCCAAAAATCTTCTAAATACAACAGAATCTTTTCTTTCAGTCCCTTTGAAGGACTAATTTTTTATCTGCTGCTCTTGTTGATTTTTTTTTTTCAATTGTTATAAGAATCTCAGTCCTGCAGTGAAGTAGTATAATAAATTAATAGATACTTAAAGTTAATAGCTGCCTTTTAGTCATGAAACTATAATCAACAGTGATCATACTAACATGTATTTAATTAACACATATCTACAAAAAAATAAAGGTAGCTCACTGCAGTGCCCTCTCCAAAAAAACAAACAAACAAACAAAAAAAACCCCAAAGAAAACCCTATACCTTATTACTACTTACAATGTGTATCTTCAGGTTTCAGTTGGTAATTTTCTTTTGCTAGTCAGTGATTAGTAATTTAGTATTTTTATCTCAAAGTCCTTAAACACATATAATAAGATGCATTCTTTTTCATAAGAGATGAACCTCTCCATGCATACTCTCATTGCATTTTTTTAGCCTCTTCTCTTGTTTCTCAAAGTCTTGTATAAATAGTAGATATTACTGTAGTTTAAAATCAGTCTTACTAATTCCATTATTGGGGAAAAATGTTCAGTCTAAGTTCCCTTGACTGTTCTACTTACATTGTCCAGGATTTCTTTACATATTTTAGTAGCAGTATGATGATTTCAGACATGTATCTACAGCATTTACTTGTCTAGACAGCTGTGTGGAAAGCAGAAGAATCATACCATAAGAAATTGAGTCATGTACAGAGCTGGAAAAGATTAGGACTGTGCTTATGAATGTTGCTGTAATAAAAATAATGCTTAGTAAGTCTTCCAAAATCTGCAACCTTGCAAAAAAAGTAGCAAAAT